ATCTGTCCGTTTTTTGTAACATTGGTTAATTTCGAAGATCTTGATCGGAGTTATCCGTGATCTGCCTCCGAATACTACTGCGATCGCCAAATTTTTCATCGCTTTAAAACCAATCGGTATATGAACTAGTGTTCCGCAGAAAAAGATCGGATTCGGTATTTTTGATGGGTATGAATGTAACATTTCACAGAACTGAAACTGTACAGTAATATGAAAACACACTACCGGCAAAACCGTCAATTCGGATCCGGATTCAGCTTATGAAGTGACTACATGTGATTCAAATCGATGAAAATTTATCAATTGATAGATCATTTTATTCAACTAATCGAATAATAGACTTTATTCAACTAATCGAATAATAGACTTTATTCAACTAATCGATTAGTTAATTTATCGATTGGTCAACTAATCGATGATTAGTTGAATAAATAATAAAATGAAACATGGTAAAATACAAGTAAATTAGCAACGGAACAGCTGGATTGATATTTAATGATCATTTGATCATTCGATCAATCGGCTAATCGATTATTGTGGTTTGCGCAAAATTATGTGAAATTTGACACTAATTTCCAATTACTGATTTCTGATTTCTTCAGTTTTTTTTGACTTTTAGACTAGACAAAATTTGCGCATTTATCATTTGTAAAAATTTGATTTAATATTTTAATGCGCAACTTCTATTTCTGCAAATATAATGAATATGCAACTTTTATTTCTATAATATTTTTACAAAATACTAACTGCGCAAATTTTGTCTAATCTAAAAGTCAAAAAAATGTTGAAGAAATCGGAAATCAGTGATTACTTTTTTTTTTAATGATCAAATTTCACATGATTTTGCAAACCGCAATAATTGGTCAATTACTGTCGAACCTACCTAAACCGACACGCATGGTGGACAGGTTTTATATCAGTATTGGGAGGTTATCAGGTTTTGAAAACATTATAAACTATATATTAGATTTATATGGTTCTTGTCATCAGAAAATGTCGATCATTCCGAATTTAATAACGATAACGTGTCTTGATTCTTATTCATATCACCAAAGAAAAAATTATATATAGTCCGAAATTTGAGAACTCATTTAACTTTAACCTTTAATACTTTACTGAATAACAAACAATTAAAAAAAATTAAGCCGTAAATCTGAAAGGGGAAGTATCAAATTTACTATTTTTACGGCTTACATTTTCAATATTATCTAAATTAAAGAACAAGACGTTATTTAAACCTATTTGAATATTTTTTGATGACTAGGTGACAAGAACCATATCAATATCGATGTAGCAAAATTTTGTATATTTTGCAGATCAAAAAATAAAATAAATCGATGATACGTAGGATTTCCGATTTCTTTGTCATTATATTTTTAAACATTTTTTTAAAAATTTAGCGAATATACATTATATGGGCTAGGTGCTGAGAAAAGGGACGAAATTGACAACTTTTCAAAAGCTGTTTTTTTATATAAATCAATTTAAAATAAGATTAGGATTATTTTTCACTTAAGACTCAAAAGTAGTTGTGTTAATAAAATTTTGCAATATAGCTTCATAAAGTTTGCATTTTCTTATAATTTATTATAAAATTTATAATATAAAAATTGATTTTCCAAAGATTTTTTTTTTTGTCAATTTTGTCCCTTTTCTCAGCACCTAGCCCATATCTATAATATTTTTAATGGTTAAAAATTATTATTCCGGAACATTTTTGAGTGCTCAAAATGTCTTTTTTGTTCAATTTTAACTTTCAAAAGTTTTTGTAATTGTGACAAATATATGTTTTTAACAAAAAAAAATATTAAAGAAGTTCATTATTAAATTTCATAATTCTTTTAGTAACAAATAAATTAAATTTCTTGAATCATACAATAATTCTAATAACTATGAAATTAAAATTGGTTCACCTTTGTTTTTTTTGCGCTTCATGTAATGGCAAATTTTATTGGGTTAAAAAAAAAAATTTCATAATACTAAATCAAATTCTTTATAAAACAATCATACAACATCTATTATTGCAAAGATATAGCTAATGTATTCAAATCTAATAATATTAACACAAATTCTATTTATACAGAAGGTATATTAGATATATCTAAATCTAATAATTACAACATAAATTCTATTTCTACAAAAAAATATATCTAAATATAATAATATTGAATCTAATTCTTTACAAGATACCGAATGTACAAATTTTGTATTTGCAGAAATACATATGATATATCTAATTATAATTTTTTTTTAGCAAAGTACTTCTAAAGATGTTAATTATATATTATATATTTGATTATCTATTTTCAAAGATAATAAAAATACTAAAGCAAAGGCAGTTTAAAAATAAAAAAACAAATCAAGTCGATAAAATTCGATAAAATATATTAATAAAATATACTAATAATTTATTAAATTAGGGCCTCTACATTTTTTATAAAGTTTTACATAATATCAAAATCTAATTCAAAGTCTAAAAAAATATACATTAGAAATCGGAAATTTTGATCTGCAAAATTTATAACATCGGTTTTGGGAGGTTCAACAGTAATCGATTATTGCGCTTTGCAAAAAGGTGTGACCCTCACGACTTTCGTGATAACGATAGTGGAGAATTTCGAAAATTCTGATTTTATATCAATCATATATTCGATCAGTGATATCTATATGTATTTGGAAATCTGTATAATTCTCTTAGAATCGAAAAATCGTCTAATTTCCCGCGATTTTACATTACACGATGATCTGCAGAGGTCACACCCTTTTGCAAAGCGCAATAATTGACTAAGTTGAGTTGTAAAATTCAAATCGATTAGTTTTCGACTTTACAACTAATCGATTAATTCGATTTTCAATTTCTACAGATACATGTGAAAGACAAATGGAACTTGTTGCCTTTCGAACCTTCCTAAACCGATACGCATGGTGGGCAGGTTTTATATCAGGTTATCAGGTTTGAAAACATTATAAACTTTTAGATTTATATAGCAGAAACAGATTTAGTGAATTAATTTTTTATCAGATTTGACAAGTTTTCGATTTATGCTAAATGATTCCGCACAAGCGCGTCCTGAAATAACGCACAGGTGCTCAAATAACGAATAGAAGCATGTTATTACGCGCAAATATGGTAATATCAATTTATATACATCTTGTAATTGCCTGATTAAGAAACACTAAAAATTTCTCAATTTCAAGTGAATTAATCTATAATGTCTGTTCGTTTTCAGTATTTGAAGCTAATTTCAAATTCTACAGCTTGGTTCGCGATTTGTGCATGAAATTTGCTGATCACAGAAATTTGAAAAGCATGATAAATAACTTTAATTAGTGGCTCGCAAAGAACAAATGATTTCAAAATCTTAAAATTCAATTAGAACCAACATCCAACCCTAGTACTATTAGCCTAGCGTTTACCGACCTAAAAATTTCGCTGGCCCATCAAATTTCAAAATCAGGTGATACGCAGAAGAAACACGAAAAATCAAGACAATCCAAAAAATCGTTCATAACTCAACATTTTACCTATGGAATCACCTCCTGCGCATTAACAAAAAGTTTCCCTCGAGAAATTTTGTTACCAAAAAACCTTTTTTTAATCTAAATTAATAGCAAAACTTAACTTTATTATAGCAGCAAAATTTTTTAGGTTGGACAGTACAGTTAATATCATATGAAATGAAACAATTATTTGACAAGACAAAAAAAAAAGGTAAAAAATGTGAAAAATCCAAAGAATAGCTAGCTAAACCTATGTCTGAAGTCAATAAAAAATGGGTAAAGGCAATTTTACCTAATAATACCTGCTTTCGTCATAACCTTAACCTTAGCCAAATTGAAATAATTTAGCCGGACATCATTTAGACCATAGATGCATAAGCTAAACATCCTTGGCCAGATATACCTATAAATTCCCTTTAAAATGTGTAAAGACATAGCAAATTTTCTGTAAGAACGTCACTTTAATTAACTTAAGTTTTACTGGTAATCAGCTTACTCAGATTCTCTTTACAAAAACACCACAATAATTTAAGGTTTCTACCTAATAACATACTTTTTCAAAATCATGCTATTTGGACCTGGAGATATTAACTATTGAACCACGGTCAGTCATAGGACTGGTCTGGAATTGAAATAAATTGTTTCTATAAAATTTAATCGCAGCCTTAAGAATTCTTAGGAATTGAGTCATTAAATCCTAAGATTATAGACCGTAACTGAACCAATTTACTAGACCCAACTGTTAATATCACTACATGGTAATACTTGAAGTTTTTAATACAGTCGTTTCTGTTAATATTGAATTAGACATGCAAAAGCTATAGAGTCGGAACCGATCGTAAATAAATTGTTCTGAATTAAATTGTGAACAAAATATTCTTTACAAGTCCCAAATTTAATTTATAACATAAAACAACTCATAAGAACACAGTTGTTAAAATACTTAATGCTATTATAATATAATATTTAATTAGCATGTTCAAATATTAGTTAAAGTTGATCTTTTTTATATACACGAAATATTCAAGCACTTGAGAATAATTAATGTCGCGGCTGATGCTGAAATTTAGATCTATTTTGATGACTTTTTTAGGGCTGGACATTCTGTGTAGGTTTTAAATTTTTGATCTAAATTGCTATATGTATCTTATTGTAAGTTTATAAAAATTATGTAAGCTACATGTAAGTTAAGATGTAACTTACAAAATTTGCCCAACCCTAGACCTTAGACCTTTTTCAAAAATTTTTAAAGTATTTTTTCACCGTTTTTTTTTTTATGGTTGAGTTAGTGTTTAGGGTTAGAATTGATAATTAAAGAGTATATGTGGATTTTAGCAGTGTTTATATTTTCAAATCACGACCCCAAATTTCAGCATCAATTAATATTTCCATCAGGTCTTAAATTATTAAGCGTGGCAATACCGTATATTGCGTTATAACTTATGTACCCGTTTTGCGGTCATCAAATACTATATATTAATAATAAACACCTGAACTAGCTATACAATAGTAGAAGTGGTGGGAGCGGTAGGAGTAGTAGGAGATTGACAATATTTACGATTAATAAAGCTAGCAATAAAAAACAAAAGGCTGACTAACATACCACCAATATATCCAACCGCGTCATTTTGAAAACCAACTAATAACCCTGCAGTTATAATCATTAATGTAAAATCCCTCTTTTTAGTCTCATCATCCTTCTTTTTAGTCTCACTATCCTTTTTAGTATCATTATCCTTCTTTTTAGTATCATTATCCTTCTTTTTAGTATCATCGTCCTTTTTAGTATCATTATCCTTTTTAGTATCATCATCTTTTTTAGTCTCATCATTATCGATATTTGAGAAATTTCTTGCTGCTGCAGATAGTTCAGTTCCAGATACAAAGAGCATAACACCAAGAACTGATAATGGGAAATAACCTAAAAGACTTGTTAAAGTCTTTCCAAATAATATTCCCATGAGCAATTTGAACAGCCCAAGAAACAAAATGCTAACTTCAGTTCTTGCACCGAAACGGTACTGACCAGCCAGCCCACCTGAACCATGACAATATGGAACAGAACCAAAAAAACATCCAACAAGATTCATAAGTCCAATGGAGACCGAAATTTTTTCAACAGTAACTACATGAGACCATTTCGGAAATAAATCTTCAGCTAATGCCGCCAATGCAATGACCGAATTGAGAGCTGTCAATGGGAGTTGACCAAGAGAAGCGCTGAGAAAGCCATTTTTAAATTCCTCTAAAGTAGGGACAACAACTTCAGGATAATTAAATGATACAGATGGTAAATTACTCTTATTACTAGATACTTTTATTATGGCAACAATTAAACCAAAGATGAACAGAATTAATGCAGTTGGTATTCTTCGGGATGAATAAAAAATAAATACAAATATGAAGGAGAGAATAGCCCATTCATAATTATCACTCCATTGCCAAGAACTACCTCCCCAACTTCCACGTTGTCGAACTAAATCAGCTGCTTTAATTATAAGTGTTATACCTGCTCCCATTTGAATACCTCTGATTATCGATATTGGAGTCCATTTTCCGACGATTCTAATAGTTCTAGTAATTCCAAGAATAAATATCATAGCACCAACACCAAGACCTGCAGACATTATTTCACCTATTGTTAGATGTGCTGAGAGTGCCACTGCTGCGATAGCTGTTATATATATTATATATATGGGCATTAGGTAATTTTTATACGGCAAAATAATTGTCTATATCAAGAGAAATAATGTAATTACCTTTCATAGGTTGAACACACATGGGGATTCGAAACATTAAACCACTAATGATATTCCATAAACCTCCAAAAATAAGTGATGAAGTTAAAGAAATTTGACCAGTAATTGAAAGAGATACCAAAATCGGTAATAAAGTGCCTAAATCCCCAAGGCTACCACTTAATTCTGATATTGATACATTTTTTATGATATATTCTGTTTTCTCTTTGAGTGATGAATATATATGAAGCAAAGGATTATGCCATAAAGAAATATCGTGATTTGATTCCGGTGGTTCTATAATTTCGACTATATCATGAGAAGACATTTCTAAATATTTTATTTTCAAAAATGATGGGAAAATATTTGTACGGTCGCTGCTTTACTAACGCTAAATGCTTTTTTTTTATATTAATCTCAGTGTTACGGTACAAACCTTTATTTATTATCTTATAACTTTATTTGTTATCTTATCATTTATAATTATCTTATCGGGATGCATCTATGTACACAACTTATCTATGACACCCAACTTTTGATTTAACGTTTTTTTTTAAACTAAGATTAGGGTTAGGGCAACTTAGGTTAAAGTTTGATTATGGTTAGAGGTGGTTTATACATCTAAAATTACCTTTCAAGGTAGGTTTATACTATCGTTTCTTGACATTCAACCTTCGTTAATGTCAACTTAATTAATGTCGTTAATACGTATCGGATATCAACATTTTCAAATTTTGGTGTGTACATAGGTGCATCCATTGTTATCACTGATGCATATATGTTTTTTATTACATAATGTTGATAATCTTCAAATGCTTTAGTTATATCAACTAACTTTAAATGGAAATTAATAATGTCTGAAAATTTTCAGAATGGAATAACACGATTTATATGTTTCACGTACGTATTAAAGATAAATTTATCTCTTAATATTTTATTATTACCGCTTGTAAATTTTTATAAAATTTTCGTTATTTTTAGCGTATGGGTCGATTATGCTCATTTTATGGAGTCATACAATACAGATGTCACTGACATATTATTTATGTTATAGCTTTGTATATATTAAAAGTTGTAGTAAATATTATTTATTTAAATTTAAATTTGTATTTAAATTCAGACGCTAACACTAATTCGATCAAAAAATTAATAAATAAGGTAGCTGTGCGACGGAAAATAGTTTTTATATTTGACTAGCATCAGGATACTGTATCTTTGATAGATCTTGGTTAAAATTTTATAAATATTACTTTTGTATAATAAATGCATATGTTGTGTCCCAGATCCCAGATGTCAATTGGCCTAAATTATCGGGCTAAAAAAATCAATTTAGCCCAGATGTTTAGGTAAATTTTAGTAAATTGATATTTGGGCTGTCCCAATTGACAATTAGGACAAATTTATTAAATAATTTAAACTAGGTTTAAGTCCGGAGCTCATGATTATTATATTACACAAACGCGTAAACATGCATAATTTTTTCACACAATAGACACGTGGCGGTGCAGACGGAAAATGCCGAAACCACTTTTTATTAGCATCAAAATTGTAATTTCAGTCATCAAAGCGCATAGAAATATGCTTCGCTCCGGGCAATATTTACGAGTTTAAATAGCTTAGATAAGTGTCACAAGGCGAAAACCGGAATTCTGATTTTCGGAAATTTCACTTTATGGAACAAGCTTATTAGATTCTAGTAACGGTAAGCTTGTTTCTGTAAATCAACAATTCCGATTTCTGTTTAAATGCGTAGTAAAGCTTATCGTTATTCCGAATACAAATAATAAATCTGAGGAAAATATCAATAAGCCTAGATACATATAACACTAAATGAATGTGATAGCTTATTTTATTTATTAAATTGACGTGGGTAAAATAAAATTCTAATTTTATATATATTACTGTTGCTATTTCACTGTCACAAAGTTAGTAGTTACAAAATTTTACACACACGTGATTTCTCCAATCACAGGATCTCGAAACCGTAAAGGTTTGTGTTATTTTAATTAACCTTAATGATCTTGATTGGATTTTTTATGATTTTGGTTTCATTAGAATCATCCCATCAAGATGATTATTTTGATAATAAAATTATAAAAATTAGAGCTTGGACCCGTTAAAAATTTTAACTCCAGGTTACCCACCGGGTTACAACCGGATAACCCGGTTGACTCGGTTGATCACAATATGAAAAATATGTATTTACACCTACTGCTATTATCCATTTTCCAGGATAGTTTGTAAGACCGTCATATTCGATATGTATTTAATCAACTACTGTTCATGTTTATTTAATCCGGCCACTTATTTCTATGTAAAATTGTAGGTATAAAGTTTTAAGATCGAACCTATATAAAAGGTCTTGATTACATTTTTACATATTTATGGATAGCAAGATCTATGACTTGGTTAACACATCTTACACGGGTACAATCTCTAGGCATATTACTATATTAGTATACAATTGCGAATGCATGCATAATGTGCATGGTGCCTATGAGACCGCTTTCTGCGAACTAACAAAAGTTTTTCTTTCGGAAATTTTGTTGCTACTAAAGCTCTTCCTAAGGCCGTTCGAAGTTAATTCTTCAGTTCTTCCTAAGGCCGTTCGAAGTTAATTCTTCAGTTCTTCCTAAGGCCGTTCGAAGTTAATTCTTCAGTTAACATCACCCCCAGCTGAAGTCTCCTCCCGAAAAATGAACAACCAATCAAAACGCTCACCAATCACTTAATTTACATCTACCAATGAAATTGCCCCATTTTTATATATTCGTTCCCCTCCCAAATGTTCTGAAAATGAAGAATTAACTTCGAGCGGCCTAACCTAGCTTAATAACAAACTTAACCTTAATCTAACAGCGAAATTTTTTAGGTTAGTAACGCTAGGATAGTTTACATCACTAAACTGACAGAAAGTTATAGAAAAGTTGTCTCTATATAACAGCCCCTAATAAGTTTTTGATTGTAATCTAGATCAGTGTTGTCACGTCTACTATGTCCAAGACTTTTTTCGACCATGCCCAATGTCCAAACGTCCACATATCCATGAATGTTCACAGCATATACAAGCTCTAAAAATCAATATATTAATTTAAAAAATATATAATTATATATTTTTTATAGTGCTGAATATTTTATTTAGAAAGTTAAAATAGATTAATTTAATAAAATTTTGAGTAATTTTAATTTATTTATTTGTCCAAAAATGTCCATAAATGTCCAAACCATGTCCATAACTGTCCTGTGCCAACACTGGAATCTAGATGGGATCGATCGGCTCGGTTATACTTTAACGTGTCCGGTTATTTTGCCGGTGATCTTCTGATCATGTTACTTCATTATATAATCGGGG